CTGCTTTTTAAACACATATTCTATGGCTTTTGGAAGGAGAAAAATCCAGATTGCAGAAAGGATGATCAAAGCCAAGGGCGCACTTTCGATTCCGTCTCTGTCAATTGGCCTAAGATCTTGCTGATCTGCACGTTTCTGCATGGGAAGCAGAGCAGGCGCCAAATTTCCGAGCTCCAGGAAAGCTGTTGTGGGTACATTTCCAACACGAAACCATCACTAGAAACACCTCCGGCATGAGGAACATCTAGCAGCTGAACAAGTGTTTTCTGTCCCAGACACCAAGACAGAAAATCCAAAACTGCCTTGCCTTTTCATAGCAAAGCTGCCTCGGGAGCGCTCAGAGGAGAAATACGAATCCGACGTCGCAAGACGCACCGTTTTTGCTTCTGTCCCATCGTTCCCGCCTTCACTGCTGGGCCTGTCTCTCCCGCTCGCTTCTTTGTTGCAAACGGTCTGACGATGTGACGGTGGAAGGTGTGCTAGAAGCAGCAGCCTACAGATGGACCCGGTCCCCGGGTTTGAGTCCCGACGTCCCTCTTACTTAAGCTGTATAATCTTGGGCAAGTCTCGGTCTTTTTGAGCCTACTATGCGGGTGTGGGCGTGAGCTGTGAATCCTGTCAAAATAGGCGCGAAAAGGCTTTGCAAACTTAACCCTAGGGGCTCTCAATCTGAGGTCTGGGGATGGGCTTTTAAAGATCTTCAGAGTCCCGGAATTTTATGCCTCATAAACGCAGAGAAAAAGCGCTAGAGGGAAGCCCGCCAAACTATCCAAGATGTTAACTTCCTATAAGGGGAGAAAGGCTGGAGGAAGGAGAGGGAGTCTCCACATCATCACGCCTATGTATCAGGATCGCTTGGATTTATTACTCTGAGGATGTATTTATATCGTTTTTTTGTAGAAATAAGATATATATATATATATACACATATATTTTTTACAAAGAAAATGCATGCAGAACTGCTCATGTGTATGAATATGTGCACTTACTGGGCATTTGGTCCATGAGTTCATCCGGGGGATATAAGGGTTAGAGACCTCCAAGAGTGCACAAAGGAAACCCCTGGTCCGCGCTCCTGCCTTCCCCACCCTGCCCTGGGCTGCCTCCCCTGGCGGCTCCTGTCCCCACAGCGGTATCTCCGGGTCCCACCAACTGCTTCCTGCCCTCGCCCCTTCAGACCAATGTCCCGTTGCTGGTCCCAGGCCCTGCGCTATCCTTCGTGGTTTCCCTACACCCTGCCCACACCTTTGAAACAGTCCCTTTATTAAACTCTCCTCACATCACCCAGTCTGCGTGTGCTGTTTCCTGCTGGGACCCTGACTGCTACGGTATTTTCAATCGGTCTTTGTACCATCTCTGCCCACATACTCACATGCACTCGCATACATTCACACACATGCTCACACACACACGCACACACACACACACACAGGCCCCGCTCAGGCACACTCACCCACAGATTCATGCTCATCCCCTAACAAACACACCCGCTCACTCAAAGACACAGTACTCACATCCCCCAGCACCTTGGGGGGTGTAGCTCCCTGGTTAAAATCCTGCGCCGGTGAACTGAGGGTCCCCCCGCGATGCGAGAACTCGGCCCTTGTCTACACCCCCCTGCTGCTGGGGTCCCTGGTGACTCTTGCCAGTTCTTACTTTTTAGAAATGCTGTCCTTTGCCCACTACTAATCCGGATGGACCCACCAATGCCACATCTCAATGTACTTGGAAAGAGGCTTCATAAAAGTACCAAATTAAAGTGGCTTCTGGAGAGGTCAGCCATACAGAATAGATATAGGAGTGAAAACAAAATCTTTCCACCAAGTTTCAGGTAGGGACAGATGGCAACTTGAGGAGATCACACAAATAAAGATTAATTTAGGTGGACGGCACCAGGTAATTTGGATGGAAGTTGAAGGGAGACACAGTCTGGCTCAATGCAAGGTCACCTTTCCAATAATTGGAGCTGTCAATGAAGGACAGGCCATTTTGTGAAGCAGACCCATGTTTGGGGCCATGTCACAGCAAGACTGATGTAGCTAGAGCCGGGACAAATGACCTCGAAGGCTCCTTAGGATGTCTCTGTAACCTCGGGCAAGTCACTTCCCCTCTGAAATTTCTGCTTCCTCATCGGTGAAATGGCCACCTCAGCCTAGGGGTATCCCAGGGGTCCTCGGTGGCTACAAATTCTCTAAATCTCTGATCTTACAGGCAAAGAGCTGCAAGAAGCGGCGTGTGGGGGGGCATTTGGAAAGGAGCTGTAGAAGTAATTAGTGATGGAAATGAGAATCTCTAGCTGCCTCTTGCCTGAGTGTGCAGATTAAAACAAGGCTGACTCTTGGCTGAATGTTTGCATTTCCTCCAGAGCAAATGGCAACAGTAGTACATTTAAAAACACTCTGGCCTCTGTTAGAGAAGGAGTAGCAGACAAATTTGTTTGGGACACAAAAGGCCAGACCCTGAATTGTGCCTCCAGCAGCCGCTAGTCCTTTAGCCTCTGTGGACCTCAGGTTCTTCGTTTTTAAGTGACGGAAGTGTCAGCCACATGGGCATGTTTTTTTGAGGATTCACAAATATGAATGTCCCCAGCCTTCCTGGCTGCGTGGAAATCATCCAAGAAAATGTGTTTGCGTCCAGGCTCCCACGCCTACTGGCTGTGTGACCCGGGGAAACTCGCTTCATTCCGCCAAGTCTTTGTTTTCTCATCTGTGAAGTGGGGGATTGTGGCATCTACTTCACAGAGCGGGTAAGGAACAACGGGCCAAAGCACATGAAACACTCAGCACCCACAGTGGTGAGTATGGTGCCCACAGATCAGGAGGTTTGTGGGATCCGAAGGACTACCATTATCAGAACCAGCAGTGCCGAACCTGGCTGTGATCTTTATTCTCTGTGGCCTCTCCAACGTGGGCGCCTAGCTCAGCCTCGGGGGTCCATGTGGTGCCAGTAGCTTGAAGGCAATACGAGGTGGTGGGTGGGCACCCAGGGGACGGAACTGAGGGGGCTTGGGCGGAGCCCTCTGTTCGTCATGGCTGCCAGATGCCCCCCCATGCCATCGCTCTGGAAATTCTTTTAAACTACAGGGGGGTTGGGCGCCTGGGTGGCTCAGTTGGTTAAGCGACTGCCTTCGGCTCAGGTCATGATCCTGGAGTCCCGGGATCGAGTCCCGCATCGGGCTCCCTGCTCGGCAGGGAGTCGCTTCTCCCTCTGACCCTCCTCCCTCTCATGCTCTCTGTCTCTCATTCTCTCGCTCTCAAATAAATAAAAAAATAAAAAAATAAATAAACTACAGGGGCGTCAAAATGAGCAGCTTTGTCCCTTCCTACTCTGGCCTGGGGGTCTTTGGTGAGGGGGTTAGTTATCTGGGTCCACACCTCTCATAGGTCCCTGGGGGTTAGGCTCAGGGATCCTTGGATCTGTCTGCCCAAATACAACCTAAGCTGATTTGGGACCAGGTCCACCTCACATTCTGCCGTGTGGGGTGGGGGTGAGGGGGGCCCGGGAAGGGGAGTCGGGGTGGAGGGGCAGCTGAAGCACAATGCACTGGAGATCGAGAACTCCACACCATTGCTTCTTTAGATCAAAGAGCTTGTTCTAAAACTGTGGCACCCACGGTAGGGGTCTTCATCAGAGTTCACATTCTTCATAAGCTCTCCTGCCAGGTAAGTTATTTGGGAAATTGAAGAATTCCCACTGGCCACAGGGAAGTTATGAAGATGAAAACTTTGCATTTTAGATCCTGAGAACGTTATTAATATGTTGCTATTTTAAGCCACCATACAAATATCCTTTGTATTGATTTCTGTGTGATGTACCCACTGAATAAATATGCCAATTTCTGCCAGGGAGCCGAACAGTATTTTTAACCTACTTTAAAATATGTGTTGTTTCCTATGGTTTTTTAAAGTTTGGAGTTGATTATGAAAGCACTTTCAATTTTAAAAAATTCTTCTCTCCAGAGAATATACATATATATTTTAAACTATTAAATATAAAGTGTAATGGGACGTAGTTTCAGATGTAGTTTTAAAACTACAAATAAAGGTAAGAAAAAGGTGAAATGATTATTGTTTTGCTTATGTCTGCCATTATATTGGAAAACACCACCACCACAAAGAAAGTTCGAGTAACAATTCTTTGGATAGATAACTGAAGTATATTCTTATGTGTACTTTTTTTTTTCCTGATCACTGCCTATTTAGCCAATGTTTCCTGTTTAGTGTATAGCACTGTTGTATGTAACCAGGGCCCCACCAGAAACTTTCGGGTCTTCAAAAATTAGGGGCAAAACAAAACAGAGAGCTGAAGCTTTTCACACCTTGGCCAATAGGATCCTCAAGATAATGGTACTATGGCCATTTCATAGACGGGGAAATTAGGATGGGAGAAGACCAAGGGCTTGCTCAGTTTCAGCTGGTTCCAGATAGTTAACCCCAGGTTCTTCTTTTTCCTTTTCTTCAAGATGGGGCTGATGGGAGGGGGCATCAGGGAGAGATTCCTTATGGCTCAAGGCCATTGGGGATATAAACTAGATGATATTTAGAGACTGGTTTGAGCTCTTGGTTGGAATAGCAAGGGATCATTGATGATCACTGTGGTTGTTATTCGTGACTCAGATGAAACTTCCTGGTTATGAACAGAAAGACAAACTTCCCATCTTGTAAACTGGCTTTGTGGATCGAGAAACCTTAGAAAATGCAGGCCCCGGAGAAGGGCTGCCTGGGCGTCCCTTAGGCTCAGGACAGCTCCAGAGCCAGAGCTAAGAAGGGCTCAGAATCACAGCACACGCATTCTGGGAGACCTTGGTCTCGTGCTCGCACCGCTGACATGGCCTGTCCATCTCCTGGGGACGGCGACAGTTAGCCCTTCCTGGCTTTGAACCAACACCTGATGGGGGTGCATGGGGTCTTTTCTTCCCGACATGCATGGCTGCTGGAGGTGTGACTCTTTAGAACAGCCCCTGCTTCCTCCTCCCGAGGTCCCAGGAGACCGGGGTTTACCTGAAGTTGTAGCCTGGGGAGACGCTGCTCTTCTCCGAGACGCTGTCGAGCCGGGTGAAGGAGTATTTGGGGATGCACTGGTCCCAGGCCCTGTCCAGGTCACACACCCAGCCGATCTTAATGCCTAGGACTCCACCCTGTGCAAAGGGGCCACATATGAGGAGGAAGGGCTGTCTCCGCCGCCTGCCAGGGTGGGGGCTGGGGGTCGTGACACACAGACACGTGATTCTTCCTATTGGCACACGTCGCTTAGTAAACAAAGTACTGCAGTCAGGGGCGTGGACCTTTGGGTCTCTAGATCCTGCTTTTGTCTTGCGTCTCTTAGCAGCAATCCAGGATCCACTTTCCCGTTGTGTGGGCTTTTTCAGAGCTCTAAGGTCAAGTGTGAAGGCGGGAATGGGAGACCGAGGCTTGGCGGGAAGGGTGAGGGAGGCACGGCCCCTCAGGACAGGGGAGGGAGCCCGTTGCAGGCCTGGCGTGCTTCCACTAGGTGGCGCTGCTGCCTCGCCGCTGCTCCACCTTCCCGGTATTTCCACCCTCCGCCTGCCAATGGGCCCCGGGTGTTTCGTTAGGTCCTCACCGTGCTGGCCAGCTTGGCAAAATCCTGCCCTGCAAACTTGACCACATCCCCCACCCGCAAGATGGGGCAGAAGGGGGCCTTGTCAGGGTGGAAGCGGCACGTCTTCATGTCGGCGGCTGTCAGGTTGGGAAGGAGGTTTCCCCTGCGGAGGAGGAGAGGAGAGAAGCAAGGCCCAGGGCTGGTGTGAAGACAGGCATGCACAAACGTCTCCGGCCTTCTCCAGCCCAGGCAGGAGGATCCGGGACCCGATGTCTTGGATACTCGCGGGCTCCGTCTCCTCCGTTCCTGCATCTTCCCTGCAACTCCTATCCCCCTCTCTCTCTATCAGGGTTGAGTGTGTTCGTGTCCAATATCCCCCAGCTCCCAGGCTGGGGGTCTCAGGGGGCAGGAATCAGGCCTGAGTTCTCTCAGCACCTCCGTGGTGCCTGGCATTGTGCTTTGTACATGCCTGATGCCCACTGAGGACCTGCTGAGTGAAGGAGTCAATGAACTCCTAACTAACTAGTCAAAAAGTAGTTGACTTGGGCTTGACATGGGAGGAAAGAAGTGGGATGGGCCCCTTGGGGATTCCAGGCTCAGGCTGAACTTGTTCTTCATCTGCCTCAAGCAGAACTCCCATCTGGGTTCCGAGCCCTAAGGCGGGAGGCTGGCAAAGAGATTGGCTCCAGAGCCCACCTAATGCTTGCTGGTCAAGGCCAGCTGGGAGATTGGGGCTAGGAGTCCCAGGGAGATGGGCAGAGGGTGAGAAAGTGTGGAGAACCATGTGGACAGGATTCTCCACCCCCCTGAAAATGAGCTGGCAGGGTGGGGTGGGTGCCCTGCTTTCTGCTTTAGGGAGGGAGCTGGGACTCACTTCTCAAAGTTGAAGAGGGGGAAACGGATGCTGTTCTTGATGAAAATAGTAAAGTTCTCGGCTTCCATCATGACAGGCCTGTGGGTGAGAACAAGGGGGCCTTAGCTTCTTGGGAAGAGGAAGAGGAAACATGGGGCTTTTGCCCCAGGGACCACTTTTCTCAGGGGACGTTTCCCACGGGGCACCTGGTCATGGCCTCTCTGGGGCTCTAGGGACAGAGGGAGGGGGGTGGCAGGTGAGGCGGGGGAAAGGTGCCATCCTGAGGCCACTTCCCCCCCAGAAGTGGATACTACTAGGAGAACCCAGGAGACCCTCTGCAGGCTCGGAGATGCAGAGCTCCCCCTATTGGCAAAGGAGAGCTGGGGCAGGGTCCTCACATTTCCACTGTGTCCACCTCGGTGGGGCACCAGCCCTGGATCTCACAGGTCCGGAGCACAGAGCTGTAGTTCACGCAGCGGCCGGTGAGGATCCCTGCCAGGGGGAGCCACACATGCTGGGTGCCTGCCTGGCACCCCCACCCCACCTCTCATCAGGGACCACCCCCCCATTCAGGGACCCCACAGGGGAGGGGACGAACAGGCAGGGCAGGGGAGGTGGAGCCGGGGTACAGGAGTCCTGCCGAGCTCTTGCCCTCGGCTCCTCCTGAGCCCTAGATCAAGCTAAGGGGAGGTGACAGCCTTCCTCTGACACGTTCTGGGCCCAGCCACCCTGAGGGCCCTGTTCTCTTTGTTCCCAGGGCACACTGTGCTCTTCCTTGCCTCTGAGTCTTTGCTGTAGCTGTTCCTTCTGCCTAGAATGTTCTTTTAAACCCCTTCTATCCTGCCAACTCCTTCCCATCTTTCAGGGCCCATCTAAAATGTCCCTGCCTCTAGGAAGCCGTGGGGGGCCCCCTACCTGGAACGGATCCCTCTCCCTTCCACAGCGCCCACTGCCCCCCTTGACAGCATTTGCTGCCTCATGCAGGCCTGCTCCCTGGGCTTCAAGCTCCTCCGGGGGCGGCCCCCACCGGGTCTGACACCAGCCAGCATCTTAAGTGCTGGCAGAATGGCGAGGAACAGGCCAATTCCCACTCTCTCCGCCATGGGGGCTGTGCTGTCTTCCAGGGTCCCAAGAACACCCTGGGGTTGTAAGGGGGTGGGGAAGGGCTGCACTCACCCCCACCCGGGAAGCGCTGAGGCCCGCACTGGCTGTCTGATACACAGCGGTACTTCTCCTCGCTCTGTGGGGAGACACGTCTGCAGGTGGGTGTAAGACTCTGCGCTGGGCCTGGATGAGCCCTTTGGCTCCCAATGCTTCCCCCTAACCAGGGGCCTTGGGAAGGCGGAGGTCTTGAGACATAGCTCCAAGGCTGGAGCTCGACCTCTGCATATACCCACGCCCCTCCCTGCCACCGCTCCCCACCCCCCAACGTTTTCTTCCTTGACCTGCTTCATACAACCTCCCTCCCTCCCCTCACCTCTGGGCAGAATCCTTGCATCTGGTTTTCAGTGACTATCATCTTGGTGATGATGACAAAGACAGAGGTGCCCTTGGCAGGAGAAGGGAGAGAAAAAAAAATGCACCAGTACCAATCCCCATTCTACAGGTGGGGAAATTAAGGTGTGGGCTAAGAGATCTGGCCAAGGTCACAGGGCTAATAAAGGGCAGAGGTGGGTCCAAGTCAAGTCCAACCACCCACCTAGCTTCTCTTGCTCCCTCCGTGTGTTGTGTTGATCACAGGATGAGTGTGGCAGAGCCTACCCTACTGTCCTGATGCCTAGTGCTGCACTCTGGAGGGCACCCCCACCCCCCTCCCTGGCACCTCCCAACCGCTGGGGAGGGGTTTCTCTGATCACTAATGCCACACATGCTGGTTTGGGGATCAGATCTCATTGGCAGCCTCCTTGACTTGCCCCAGCATCTGGGCATCTATACGTGACCCTGGGGTAGGGGAACCATACCTGGGGTGGGGTCACATAATCAGACACGTCCATGACTCTGTTGGCATAGCGTCCAAAGCCCTTCACCTTGGTGACGACCGAGGACTCAATGGCTGTGTCCCGCACCTGGTAAGCCTTCTCGTGCAAGAAAACCCACCTGGGCAGGAGAGCAGGGATGGAGAGCAAGAGAGGAGGGTCTAGGCCCATCAGAGAGAGGCCGGGAGAAGTTTCCTTCCCCAACACTAGACCGCATGGAGTGTCCGGTCAGGGGAAGGCCTGTGCTGGAGGGGAGGGACCTCCCCCTGGGTTGGCTTAGAGTGGTTTTTTCCCATCTTTCCCATTTCCCGCTTCAGGACCATTTGTAGACTTTTCCCCCTAACCGCCCCCCCATCATGAAATTTTAAAAGTATAGATATTAACTTATGTGCTGTATGTATATTTGTGTTTTACACATAAGAGTGAGATTTTTTTAATCCCTCAAGAACAAATTTTCACCCCCTTGAGGGTGACATCGCCCCTTTGCCAGTGCGAAGTCATTCCTGCTGACCAGGAGACCACCTCTTTGACAGGCAACTGGAAAAAGGAGGGACAAAGCATCCTAAGCCTCTGACCCTGAGCATCCCAGGCTTTGCTCATGGGTGTATCCTAAGTGCCGGCACATAGTAGGTGTTCAGTAAACAAGTCAGGGAAGACATTTGGGAGCTGGGTGCTTGGAGGAGTCTCCATCTGTGCAGGCGCCAGATGAGAAGGGCAGAGGAGGAAGGTTGGGGCAGCAGCTGAGCCTTTCCCTGGCAGGTAGGAGTTGGATTAAGCAGGGAGAGGCCGCAAATCTTATTCCTTGGATTGTGCTGCCACCCAGTGGACATTTACCTGTACTGCCTTCTTCCTGCGGCCAGGATCAGGGAGGGCCCCCTTCTCCTTCCACCCCGACGTCCCTCCCCGGACTCTGGCAGCTTTCCCCAGCAGCAAGAAGAGGCTGCAGGCAACTCTTCTCTCTGCAGTTCTGTGAGGTGCCCGCCTTTCTCATCACAGCCCTCAAGGCTCGACCCACTCTCTGCCTCGATAGCAGGTTTCCAGCCTGCGGCCCGCCCTATCTGTGCCCCACAGCACGCTGGCAGGCAGATGCTGTCACTGTCCCCATTGCACGGATGAAAAAAGGTCATCAAATGCATTTGGAAAATGCCGCACACACTCTTATTTTTGGAGAAACGCTGGTGACATCTTGTAGAACGGGGAGTGCGCTTTTGGAAATGCTGGATTAGGGTCATTTTCTGCCGGCTAACCAGGGAGGCACAAGGTTGAGGATGAGCGGGAGGAAGGGACTGGAGATGGTGTAGTGCAGAGAACACAAAGCTGGGGGCGCGCTAGGCTGGGAAGCTGACCTGACGACTTTATAAGGCGGCAGTTGGGACTTCAAGCCTGGGAGCTTTCCAACCCCAGAAAGTTGTCCAAGAGTGGACTGCTGTGGGAGGTGGTGAGTTCCACATGCCTGGGAAGACTTAAGGAGATGCGTTCAGGTGGGGGGTGGTTGGATTGGATGACCTCTGGGGTCCCCATGGAGGGGAACAGCTCCCGGGGCATGCTGGGGGGTCATAGTCACCTGTGGGATGGGCACCTGCCCGTCAGGTTTGTGCTCACACAGGCTGACATTTGCAAGAGACTCTTTGCTCAGTTTTCAGGGAGGGGGCTGGGAGTTATCCCCATCGTGGGGCTTCCCTCACGCGCTTGAATTCCGAATGTGAATGCTCTCTCAAGTGGGACGGGAAGGGTGGAGCGCTGGTGGACGGCTCCTAATCTGTCCCCGGTTTTATTGTTGCTGCTGGATAGCAGGCGGTGTCCTGAGGAAGGCACCGTTAGGAGGGGTCACAGGTTTGTAGAAGGCTCTTACGAACACCTGGCCTGTGTGGACGTTTGTGGTGCTATGTGCTTTCCTTTCCTAGCACCTCTCTCTTTTTTTTTTTTTGGAAGGGGAGGGGTTTCATCAAGTCTCATAAGGAAGTATGGGTCTCACAGAAATGTCATCCACCACCTTATGTCCAAATGAGTATTATCAGCTCATGGGTGGGGGCCCCGCGCAGTGGAGGGAGTGAGGCCGAGAGCCCAGATCTCCCTGCTCCCAACTGAGCGCACCTCTGTCCCGAGTAGAAGCCACAGTTGCAATACGCCCTCTAGAGCCTCAGTGTGCCCAGCCACGGAATGGACACATCTCTGAGTGGTGATCTAATGACATGGTTTCCTAAGGCCCCCTACCCTATTCTTAAAGTCCAGGAACATTTGCAGATGAGAAGCGGGGTTCAGATTATTATTATCTAACCAACACAGCCCGCTGAGTCTGTGGTAAGGGTGCATGGAGTCCTTACCATGACCCTGTGAGAACCCTTTATTGCTCTCCTTATGTTACAGATAAGGAAACAGAGGCACAGAGTGCTGTGCTAACTCGCCAAGCCGGTAGGTGGGTTCCAACCCCGGGCAGACTGCTCAGAACCAACTTACACCCTGAACGGGATCCTGGTCCCGGTGCTGCTGGTCCTGCCGGTCACTAGGGGAACATCTGCAGCCTTGGGAAAGTCTCAGGGGGAAGGGCCCTAGGGCTTGGAAGAACAATTAACCTATCTCTCTCCTCACCTTTCTCCTCCTTCAAGGCTCCTTCTTGTGCCCAGTGGGTAGGAGAGGCCACATCAGAATTCTCTCTCTGAGTTAAATAATAAGCGGAAGAATTTCAGTGGCCCCTTGGGGCCCAAGGACGTCATCAGGGCAGCTCAAAATAAGGGGATGCTTCATTTCCAGAACAGAGGGGCTGAGTCTGTCTCTAGAGGCCAGGGCTGAGGAGATGGGGCAGGACTAAGCCTTCAATTCTTGGCATTTACTCTGCTGCTCTGACTTATTTTTTTTCTCGTGTTCCTGGTTTATTATTTATAGAGTGGAAGGCGGGTGGCAGCTCCTTGGCAGGTGGGATGTACAGGAAGGAGGCTAGAGCAGGATCCCGGCACCCTTCTGTCCACCCCCAAGGAGTCAGGGAGGAGGCCGGGGAGTGAGCGTGGGGAGTGTGTGCTCTGTGCACCAGGAGGAGAGGGGTCTCTGAGGAAGGTGTGAGCTGGATGGCGGGGAAGGGGGAGGTGTGTTGGGGGATCTAGGAAATGACAATTGTTGCCCTCTATTAGTGGGTCTCCCGTTTCAGGCAAGGCACTTGACGTGATAGTTCTCCTTGCTGTAACTCCCTGGGGTAGGCATTCCTAAACTCATTTCCCAGATACAAGGACTGAGACTTAGAGACGTAAGGTGACCTGTCCAAGCCCCACTCCTAGTTGGTGTCACAGTGAGGCTTCTAACAAGGGGGTTCTCGTTCCACGGTCTCCCCATCATGGAGCTGCAGAGAGGGGTGGGGGAGACAAGAGTGACACTCTTCTCTGCATCTGTAAGGTGGGTTCCAACAGGTCTTCCACCATACTTGTCACCTAGTGTCCCACAGGAAGACTCAGGGGGGATGCCTCAGGGTGCTATCCTAGGCTGAAATGATGGGGTGGTGGGTCAAGAAGGTGGAATTCCAGGCCCTTCTCTTTAAACTAAAACAGCTCCCCTGTTTAACCACTTTATGTATTGAGCTTCTTCATGAGATTCAAAGTGAGGCTTGGGGCACCTGGGTGGCTCAGTTGGTTGGGCACCCGACTCTAGATTTTGGCTCAAGTCATGATCTCAGGGTCGTGGGATCGAGCCCCACATCAGGCTCCATGCTCAGTGTAGAGTCTGCTTGCCCCTCTCCCTCTGCTGCTCCCCCTGCTCTCTCTCTCCCTCTCACTCTCAAATAAATAAGTAAATAAATAAATAAGATCTTTTAAAAAAAGATTCAAAATGAGGCTGAATATTATGAACCAAATGGGACACCTGTGCAAATCGTGAGTCTGTGGATCAGGCTTTGCATGGGGAGGAAGGGATGGGGAGAGCAGGGCTGTGAGGGGTCCAAGGCACCACCAGCCACCACAGGTCCTTCTGATGATGGAGCATCAGATGGCCGGGAGTGCCCCTCTTCTGGTTTGCAGGGAGGTAGCTTCCTTCCAGGAGGCTCTGCAAATTAGCTCAGGCTGTGGAACAGCCAGCACTTCTGGAAACTCAGTCCCCAGGGACCTCCTGTGTCTTCCGCAGCCATAGGATCCCCAAAAGAGATTGGCTCTTAGGAAGTCCCACCCCACAGAGGAGACTGGGGATTGCCACCTGGGCCCTGGGAAAGCCATGTGAGAAACACCACTGGTGTCTCTATGCACCTGGGTGGGTAACGGACACCAGGGATGAAGTGGTGTCAACTCCAGACAAGCAGCTGAGGCTGGAGCAGGGGTGAGAGCACATGTGGAGACAATTAGCTGGCATGCTGCAGTAAATGCATAAGAGAAACGGTTGGCTCATGTTACATGTGTCCTAGTAAGATCGTGCATCTGGTCTACCTCGCCGGGATACTACGGAAGAGATTCAAGTGCTAGTTAGATGTTAATATTACAGTGTTAAAAATCCTTTCAAATTCTACTGAGTCTAGGCCACCATCATCTCTCTCAATATACTGCACTGCCCTCTCCAATCACTGCATCCACTCCTACCCACTCCAATCCCTTGGTGAATTAGCCAGAGTGATCTTCCCAGCTCAGATCTCATTGTCTGTCTCCCCCCGCCCCTGCCCCCAGACACACACACACACATACATAGAATTCCCATCCATTGCCCCTGTGTAAAAAACGAAAGCTCTGAGGGTGTCTGAGGTCTGGCTGGGTGTGATCCCACCCCCATCTTACAACCACCCTCACCTTTGCTCCCTCTGCTCTAGCCATAGAGACCTTCTTTACTTCTCCTCATTTGCCTGGCTCTTTCCCTTCGCAGAGCTGGGTTTCTCTGCCTTGAGTCCTCTTTCTTCCCTTTTTTCTCCTGGATTGTTCTTACTCATCCTTCAGATCTTGGCTTGGGCATCATATCTCCAGAAAACCTTCTCTTAGCTCCCCGACCAGGTCAAATGCCTCCATACTAGCAGCTCTCCTAGCATTGTACACCTCTTATTCAATTTTACATTTGTTTGTGGAGATTGTTTGATTAATGTGCATCTCTTGCATCGTAACCTCCATGAGGGTGAGGGCCCTGTCTGCTTTTGCCCATGTTCTATGCTTGGTGCACAATGCCTGGCATGAAGAAATGCTTGATAAATTCCTGCTAAATTAAAGACAATGGATTCATGAAGTCCTGATGGTGCCTGGGCTCATGTGCACAGAGATGGGGCTCAGGCCAGGGGGCTGGGCCACAGACTAGACAGATGTAACTGGAAGGAGCAGCTCCGTGGGGAGCTGTCAGGCTGGGAGATGGATGGGGTTGGATATCAAGACGCCAAAGAGCCTCTCATGCTTGTTTCTGCAGGCCGGGCTCCAGCACCGAGGATCAGAGCATCAGATCATATCACAATGAAGGAGAGACAGGGGCAGCGGGAGAGCAGAGCAGGCTGGTCCAGGAGCCGCTGTCTGCCCTCCATCAACCTCCCGCCTGGAGCCAACAGAGCCAGGGATGTGCTGAGGCAGCTTTTGGACTCACCTGGACCGCCATACCGTTTCGTGGGTATAAACAGTGAGAGCATCGCATGGACATGTGAACATGGAACATTTAAGAACCAACTTTGAGCCAGCCTCTGGAGGTGCAGACACGGAACATTTGCAAACACCATACCTCACAAAACCTCGAAGTTGGAAGTAAGCTTCGAGGCCATTTTCCTACCCCAAAGCTTGAATCCCTTCTCTGATATCCCTGAGAGGAGTACTGGAAGTACAGCCTTGCCTACAGCAGCCACAGAAATGAGTCCTACTGGCTCCCACAAAGCATGCAAAGGAAAAAAAAAATCCCTTAATCCACACCTGCCCAATTTTCCACGCACACGCTCACACACTATTCCGACCTTTCAGGCAAGGAGGCCCACGCACATGCAGCTCCAGCCCACACGCACACTGGATGTCTCTTTGACTTGAATTAACTCACGACAGTTGTCCGTGGCTTGTCGTTTCTCATACACAGAGCTATTGTCTCAGGCAACAGCATGAGACTAGAGACCCGCACGCCAGGAAAGAAAACTCTAGAGGTTTCTGCCTGTCATTTCTGGTGCCCACCAGTGGGTGCAAATGACCACAAAAAGGACGGAACCATTGTCTGCTCCATGGCCCTTGGTGCATATGTGTGTGTGTGTTGGGGGGGGTGGTGGATGCTTCTAAAGGTGGGAGCTGAGAGGGGGTGTTCGGATCACTGGCTCTTAATCAACTCCTGGGATGGGTTATACGGTACAAAGTCAGTAGCAGTAGAGAATTTATGCTTTCTGGCAAAGCAGTGTGTTTCCGGATTCACGAGGAGGGCCCCTGGATCGTGTGCAGAAAAGCCACCTTTCCCCTGAGCAACTCTTCCACTGAGTTATTTGTGCCCGTGTCTCTCCCCCTCCCCAAGGCGCAGACACCCTGCTTTGTCCTACCCTCCAAGAACAAGGGCTTCTCCCCTTGCCCTGTTCTCTCACCGTCTCCTCAAGCCAGGAGGGGAATCCCTCCTTCCAAAGCGGTCCAGTTCTCTCCTTCCCACCCCACCATCGACCTGATCAACCCATCACTGTCTCCCTCATGTCAGTGCCGTCCCTTCCCCTTTCCTGTGCTCCCTCATCTTTGTGAGAGCCCAAAGCACTGGCTGAGGAGAATGGGAAGATGTGAGGGTGGTCTGTTCTCTGGTGGGAGCAGGAAAGAAGGGAGAGGGGAGATGGTCACTTGGGACCTCTCCTGGTGGAGGGTGGCACCAGGGCAAGAACCCCACTCCTTGGGGTGTGTGCCTAGAAAACACTCTCTGACTCCAGAGCATTTACTGGGGAAAAGAACTAATCTGGGGACCAGATCCCTGATGGGGGTGGCACAGTCCACTCCTTGGACTCCAGAGTAGAGACTGTTTCCTCCAAGAGAGGAGCAGGTCAGGCAGCTGGACAGCAACACTGAGGGGACACCAGGCAGCCCTCCCCTGCTATGACCCGAAGGGCCACAGGACTCACCCCACGAAGTAGGAGATGATCAAAAGCTGGACTGCCCGGTTGATGACCCCAATGGTCCAGCTCTTCACAACCACTGACTTGGTGGTCTCGTAGGTGAAGAAATCTGACACGCAGTTCATGCTGAGAGAGCATTCAGGGGCCACTCAGAAGGGACCCAGTGGTGGCCTCAGGGGGGGAGAGGTCCTCGGGACAGGGAGAAAGAGATCAGAGCCTGGAGGGGACAGCTTGGAGGGGCTTGAGGAATGGGGAGCCTGTTCCTTTGAGTCAGGCAACCCTCGCTCAGTGCCCAGGCTCCCTCTGCCCTTGACACTCTGGGCTGCTAAGAGTCCAAGGCCAGGGCGGGGGACCCCCTTTTTGTTCGTCTCCACCCCACTCCCCTGTGATGTCACGGCAGGGGTGGGGTCTCCAATCCCCGGCTCCTGATTGCCTGGGATGCAGCTGGCTAGGGCCCTCTGGGACTAATGTTTTATCTGCACTCTGTCTACCCTTTCTGTTCCGTTCTCTTGTACTGCATCTTCTTCCCTGCTCATCAGCTGCTTCATGCTCTCCTTAAAGCCCCTTGCAACGCCCCAGCCCCAGCCACCTAATAGTCTCCCCAGGACTGGTTGCCCCCTTCATTCGTGAATGCCTTCCCAAAGCCACTCAATTCGGCTACCGACCGCTCCCTTCCTGAGTTGCCCCCAATAGCATATGGGTCACGGGGAAGGGTCTCTTGAATATTTCTCTTGATCTCCTGGGGCGGGGGGGCGGGGGCGCATAACGGGTCATATAGTTCACGTCCCTAACTCAAGTCAGCAGTGGCTGAAGCTCGACCTGCAGCACAGCATTATCCCATTGGGGTGATTTGTTTTATTTTGCTTTGTTGTACTGTTGAGTTTACTTATCTGAATCTTTTGTTTGATAACATGCTCCTGGAAGGCTGGGGCTGTTTCCATCTTGTTTACTAGTTTTCTCAAATCCTAGAACTCGGTGGGAGCTCAATCCGCATTTACTGAATCCAGCTGAATGTATGTTGCTAGACAGCGCTGAAATGGCCATTTCCCAGAGTTAAAGTCACGAGTTCAGGGAGCCACAGAGCATTCCTGCTGTCTCGTAACCCAGGACTGCGTTAGCAAGCTGGCGTAGCTAAGATTGTCAGGGAAGTCTTCAATTTAAATATTCTGTCCTAGGGGCGCCTGGGTGGCTCTGTCGGTTAAGCATCTGCCTTTGGCTGGGGTCATGATCCCAGGGTCCTGGGATGGAGCCCTGCAGAGGGCTCCCCGCTCTGTGGGAAGCCTGCTTCCCCCTCTGCCTCCGCTTGCAGGAGGCTCCCCCTGCTTGTGGTCTCTCTGTCAAATAAATAAATAAATAAAATCTTAAAAAAAGAATTCTGTCCTAGTGCCTTCATGCAGGACAGGTTCCATCAATCGTTCTGGATGTAGAGGGGAACTAGAGGGGGGTAAGGAGATCTGGGGCCCTGGGCAAATCCTCGCTGGGCCTCGGCCTTCCCATCGGCAAAGGAAGGCTGGGGCGGACAAACTCGACCAGCTCTCCCAGGCCTGGCCTCCCCGCGGCGGCAGGAGCGGCGCAGGGCTTCTGCCATCCCGCGCTGACGCGGTTTCGAGTCACGCCCGGCTCCGAGGTGACCGACTCGCGCGCTCGAACTTGATGCCGCCCTGCGCGAGCCTCTTGCAGGCCTCCCCGACACCGCGGTTTCAGAAGTGAAGCTTTTGGGTGCGGACTGAGAACGCCTTTCAAACCACGTGACCGGGGAAGGCAGGACAGTCACCGTGACGCCGACACCCCGGGTGCGGGCGGGTCATTTCCCTCCGCAACTCGCAATGTTTGTCTCTTGCCTCACAGGCTCCTTTCTACTCCTCAGAAGCCACTCCTGTGCGGGACGGACGGAAAGACACACACACGCGTCTGCGGGAAGTCTGACAAGAGAAAACTACAGAATTTCTCTCCAGAACCTAGTCCTCCACTGAAGAGGTGTAATTTTTAAAGGAGCCCTACACCCTCCCTTCTGCGGTGCGACTTGAATCGCAGCTCCGCTTCCCGCAGGTCCTCCAGAGTGGTTGACGCTCTAGGAGGCCGCCTCGTGGGCGGGCCGGGCTCGCGTCTCTCTAGCCAGCGCACCCTCTCTATGGTCCATGCACGGCTTCCGGTGGCGGGACGCGGGGCCGCGCACGCGGGAAAAGCTTCCCCACCGTCCCCCCCGGTCCCCCTTGTCCCCGCCCCCCCCTCCCGCGTCCCCCAGCGCGCCCACCGCCCGCACCTGGGCCGTCGCGAGGCTGCAGCTTGAGGAGGTGGGTGGTCGCCAGCCCCGTGCCCTGGGAGGGCGCGGGCCCTGCTTCCCCCCCGCGGGACGCTCAAGATGGACCGTCCCGCGTTCGAATCCACGGGCAGCGGGCGAATCCATTTTAGGGGGCGGGGGAGCCACGGGTCCAGGGCCGTGGCGCGGTGGGAGCGCTGGGAGGGAAACCTTGCACTGGGAGCTAGGTCGGGGCGCGGCTGAGGTGCAGGCCCCGGGCAGGTCCCGGGGTTCTGCTGCTCGTTGCCATGGCGCCCGGTGGAGCGCCCCGAGCGGGTGTCTGGTCCGGCTGTGAGCGCCACTCCAGGCCGGGTCGTCCAGCCCGGGCTGGGCCTGACTCCTTGAGGTCTGCAGGGCCTGCTGTAGGTTCCCAGGCAGAGGAGATTCTGAGACTTCCCAGGCTCAGCCAGGGGTTGCCACCTGGCTCCATCCATGGGCCGAGTGAGATGTTGCCTTTGATGTTTGTCTGGCTCCCTCTTGAATTCAGATTCCTAACCTGCTGAGTGTCTGCACACCCACCCAGGAGTTGGGGCCCCGCTCCCAGTTGAGGCCAACAGGGGCAGATCAGTATGGCGGAAACACTGGAGTTCAACGACGTCTATCAGGAGGTGAAAGGCTCCATGGTAAGAAGGACCTGGGCTTTTAGTACAGGCCGAGAGAGGGAAGGAGGAGTAGACTTTTTGTCCATCAGTAAGAGCTTACTTTGATGACGTTGCTGTTCTAGAAAAGGAGCCCGAGGATAATGTGTAGTTGGTGTTTCCCCAACAAAAGGCAATGCATACAGATCTTCCTCCCCTTCCAATGGGGTTACATCGCCAGAAACTCATTGTGAATTGAAAATATTGTTTAAGTTGAAAATGCATTTAATACATCTAACCTGATGAGCATCGTAGGTTAGCTTAGCCTTAAACAGGTTCAGAATGTTTTCATTGGTGTACAGTTGGGCAAAACCATCAAACACAAAGTCTACTCTGTAATAAAGTTTGAACACCTCGTGTAATTTATTAAATTGTGTCCTGAAAGTGAAACAGAACGGGTAGAGAATGGTTGTATGCATATTGGTTGTTGACCCTGGTGATCAACCCTGGTGATCAACCCTGGTGATAATGTGGCTGGCTGGGAGCTGCCACTGCCCAGCATCATGAGATGATTGTACCACCTGTTGCTAGCTTGGGAAAACATATTCACAGTTCAAATTGTGGTTTCTGTTCAATGCGTATCATTTTCACACCATCATAAAGTTGAAAATTTCTGAGTTGAGCCACTGTAATTCAAAAAGCGTCTGTATAGGAGTTCTAGGGTCACAGTTTGAAAGGGACCGTTCATGCTGCTCCATCCCAGTGCAGACTAAGGCCCTGCAGGGGATTTGGATGCCAGGGTTTGGTTTTAGGATCCAGATTTCCTGGTTACTTGTCTCTTCTTTCTGACCCTCACCCCTGCAGCTGTTGGTCCAGCATCTGTGTCTGGCCAGCCCAGTGTAGGTTTTGGGTGGGATTGTCTGTTCCCCGTACACAGTGTGTATTGTACCCTTGCATTTGGGCCTGTTTTCCCAACAGAATGATGGTCGGCTGAGGTTGAGCCGCCAGGGTATCATCTTCAAGAATAGTAAGACGGGCAAAGTGGACAACATCCAGGCTGGGGAGTTGACGGAAGGCATCTGGCGCCGTGTTGCCCTGGGCCACGGACTTAAATTGCTTACAAAGAATGGCCATGTCTACAAGTATGACGGCTTCCGAGAATCGGTGAGGTGTCTTGTGGCCACCTTGTTTATTTTTAATCTTCTAGAAAGAGTTGGGGCTCCTTTGATAACCATGTAATTGCTGGTTTTGGCTTCTCAGAGCAGGGCCATTGCGGCCATTAAGCAGTGTTCGGCTTTGGGTGTCTTGTGCTTTGACTCCAGATTTTCTACCGTAGTGATTTTTTTTTTTTTTTAAGATTTTATTTATTTATTTGAGAGAGAATGAGATAGAGAGAGAGCATGAGGAGGGGAGGGTCAGAGGGAGAAGCAGACTCCCTGCTGAGCAGGGAGCCCGATGTGGGACTTGATCCTGGGACTCCAAGATCATGACCTGAGCCGAAGGCAGTCGCTTAGCCAACTGAGCCACCCAGGCGCCCCTACCATAGTGATTTTTTTGGTGGTTTCTGCTCATTGCCTTTATCCAGATTCAGAGTCTTAGTGCTTTAGTTTGAGGTTTGTTTTTTTGTTTTGAACTGAGTTAAAGACTTTATTGCATTTTAATTTCACTTTCATCAAAGCACTGCCTATCCGAAGTCAGAGAGCATTGTGAGGCCCATGATCAGGAATGTCATTTCCATACTTTACTCCTCCCCTACTCTGAGACCCAGTCCCCGGCAACAGCTTCTGGGTTTCTGATAGAAGGTAGATGGGGGCAGTTTCTCAGAATCCCAGAATGTTTGTGTTAAGGCCACCAGGGTTTACAGCTCTCTCCGCTCTGCCCACAGGAGTTTGAGAAACTCTCGGATTTCTTCAAAACTCACTATCGCCTTGAGCTCATGGAGAAGGACCTCTGTGTGAAGGGTTGGAACTGGGGAACAGTGAAGTTTGGTGGTGAGTCCTGGGGAAGACTGAGGTTTGGAGGAGAAGGTAGGATGAAGGGTTTCAGCCTTTACCTTGTTTTGCTCTTTTTCTGCTCTTTACCTTGTTTTGCTCTTTTGTTCTGTTTCTGATTTCCTGTCAGTTTGTAATTCATCATAAATTTATTGAGGACCAGTAGTGTATGAGGCACTGTGCCTGGTCTTGTGGGTACAGTGTGACCAAATAGCCCAGTGCCCTGTCCTTGGGATTGACAGTCTGGTGGGAACGTCGTTTATGCAGACTTGAGGGGAGGAGCTTGTGGTTGATAAGCCCTTTCCCCGCAGGGCAGCTGCTTTCCTTCGACATTGGCGACCAGCCGGTCTTTGAGATACCCCTCAGCAATGTGTCCCAGTGTACCACCGGCAAGAATGAGGTGACACTGGAATTCCACCAGAACGATGACGCAGAGGTGTCCCTCATGGAGGTGCGCTTCTATGTGCCTCCCACTCAGGAGGATGGCGTGGACCCAGTTGAGGTGAGGCCTCCCCTGGTCGCCTGGAGAGCAGATGGTGCTGAGCAGGCCCTGGCCGGCCTGGGAGCAGGATCCCCGCTGCCTGACTACCAGTGTGTACTTTTGCAGGCCTTTGCCCAGAATGTGCTGTCTAAGGCGGATGTGATCCAGGCCACCGGAGACGCCATCTGCATCTTCCGGGAGCTGCAGTGTCTGACTCCCCGAGGCCGTTACGACATTCGGATCTACCCCACCTTTCTGCACCTTCACGGCAAGACCTTCGACTACAAGATCCCCTATACCACGGTGCTGCGTCTCTTTTTGCTGCCCCACAAAGACCAGCGCCAGATGTTCTTTGTGGTAAGCAGAAACCATGGGGGCTGGATCTCGTCCTGGTTTTTGCCCAGTAGATCGGTCTTGCTGGTGTTTAGTTAATGAGCAATTCTTGTGGAACACTGATTGGTGTGAAACTTTGTCGGCTCTTCCTTACCAGATCAGTCTAGATCCCCCCATCAAGCAGGGCCAAACGCGTTACCACTTCCTGATCCTCCTCTTCTCCAAGGATGAGGATATCTCCTTGACTCTCAACATGAATGAGTGAGTGTGTCCCTGAACTCCTGTCCTTCCACTGTCCAGGCAGGAGACTGGTGTGCCATTAGAAGGCAGCAATGCTTGTGACCTCGCCTTCCTCTCTCTGTAGGGAAGAGGTGGAGAAGCGCTTTGAGGGGCGACTCACTAAGAACATGTCGGGATCCCTGTACGAGATGGTCAGCCGGGTCATGAAAGCGCTGGTCAACCGCAAGATCACAGTGCCAGGCAACTTCCAAGGGTGAGAGTGCCGGCCTGGGGTCCTGGCCGGACTGGGGGGCACTGTGCTGTGTCTTCTTGGTAAATCCCTCCTGGGCTGGGAACGCAGTCTCCTAGAGGTCTGGTTGTGTCAGCATGATGGGTGTCAGTTGTCTCCATTAGAGCAGCGTAGTGGGGTTTACTCACTCGAGGGCCTGAGCACATGTGTGTCGCTGCTGAGAGATGTGCCTTTGGCTCTGTGCCACCTGCCCCTGAGGGAGGCACTGACTAGGCTCCCGGCCTCCTCCACAGGCACTCAGGGGCCCAGTGCATCACCTGCTCCTACAAGGCGAGCTCAGGACTGCTCTACCCCCTGGAGCGGGGCTTCATCTATGTCCACAAGCCACCTGTGCACATCCGCTTTGATGAGATCTCCTTTGTCAACTTTGCTCGTGGTACCACCACCACTCGTTCCTTTGACTTTGAAATTGAGACCAAGCAGGGCACCCAGTACACCTTCAGTAGCATTGAGAGGTGAGAGCTTCTGCCAGTCACTTCCTGGGCATCCTGGTCTGGACCGAGCCTCTACCGGGAAGCCTGGCATGGCATGGGGCCCTCTCTGGGCCTGTGACTCTTCCCCAACTTTTCAAGCCTTGAGCAGAATTTTTCTTTTGCTTCCCTGGGATTTGGTCCTTCTTGGAGTGCTCAGCCTTTGAAAGCCTCTCCCTGGCTTTCTTTCTGTACTTAAATTGTTTCCCATATTATGTGTTCAGTACTAGCCCTTCTCCACTCCCCCCATGATGGAAATACTATCTCTCCCTTTCCTGGAATGAGC